TGTTTACTGCCCTTCCCACTCCACCCAGCCCCTGGCAACCACAGGCCTCCTGTCTGGATTCACCTGTCCTGGACACTTCGTAGGCACAGTCACACAGAATGCTGTAACTGGGTCCCCACAGCAGACGTTCAGAGGGAGAGTCGCGTCCAGAAATGGGGCTCATGTTCAGGGTCCCGCAGCACGCCCCAACTCCGAGTGGCCTGAACCACGGCAACCGCCGTTCTGCCCATCACAGAAGCCCCGAGGGTGGGAAGTGACAGAGTTTGGGACTAAGACACCAGCGGCGCTGTGGAGACTCCAGCATCCTGCTCGGCCACGCTCAGCGAGGGTGTCCTTCTCAGAAAGGCGTCCCCAGGGATCGCGAGGGCAGCCGAGGTCTCGGGCACAGCACGGGCAGGGAAACGGTCCCCCGGCAGTGTTCGCTGCAAACACACCGGCCCCCGAGCAGCCTGACTCGCCCTTCCACCGCCTGGAAGGGCGTCACATCCTCACTCCCGAGTGTCCCTGTTGCCCCACGTGGGACCCAGCCGAGTCGTGCAGAGATGGGCTCGGGCCCAGTAACAAGGGAGACGGGGAGGGGTGGGCTGTGACGGGTCCTGGGAGGACCGTTGCCTGGGGGTTCTGCTGTGACTTTTGCCTTCCAGACCCGAGCCCAGTCCCTCTCCCTGGCCGGCCCTTGGACACGTGTGTCTGCGCCCAGCATTGTGCCGCTTTGATCAGAGGCCCGCAGACTTCTGCCATTTAACGTGAGCGCCCAGATGGCGACTCCCGTCTCATCAGCACCCTCCGCAGGGCTGGGGCGTGCGGACCAGATTGAGTTTCCATCAGCGCCGAGTCTCACCTGAGCAGCCAGCGGCTCCGGGGGAGAGAAGTCGATGGAGAGGTAATTAAGGATCACGTCGCATCAGGGAAGTAATTACCGGGGAGCAGGGCCCACGGCGGTTCTCGGAAGCTGCAGCTCGCCCCGCGACCCATCAGCAGAGACGTGAGGATGTCCGGGTGCCACGGGAGAGGTGTTCTCATGTCGGAGGTGGGGTGACTGCTCCTGGAAAGGGGGGCTGTCCCACTGGAGGGGCCAGGACACCTCACCACCTCGCCCGCTGTGTGTGGTCAGGGTGGGTGGGCTCGAGAAACAGCTCACGTGGGTAAAACAATCTGTGTTCTGAGTTCACCTCGCAGCACAGCTGAGCCCCAGTCCTTCAGAGACAAGGGTCAGTGTGGCCCAAATGCTATTTACAGCCACCAAAGTTGGCCCATGATGCCTGCAGGGCCTCGCCTCGGCACCCGACACACAGCTCTGGACAAGGCCATGCACGGTGGCACCTTGGTGGTCGCGGCTGTCGTGACAAATTCCTGATATAATCAGTGGAAGCGAACCCCCAAATCCTGACGGCTCAACAAGCACGGGCCGTTTCTCACTCACATTTGCAGCCAAGGCAGGGCGAGCAGCCCCCCATGGTCGCGCTCCACAGAGCATGTGGCCTACAAGGACACCACAGAAGAGAGTGGTCAGCTGAGCGAGGGTCCCCGAGGACGTCCACTCAGACCGGAACGCGTGGCCGGAGGACGTTTCAGATGTGATCGGATTCTGCGTCGTCGGCGGGAAATTATCCTGGATTCTGGGTAAATCCAACCACCAAGGTCCTTGTAAGAGACACGGAGGAGACCTCACACGAGGGGTGGACAGGACCGAGGGCCGGGAGGGCCGGGAGCCAAGCATGGTGCGGCTATTCAATCCGATTTCGGAGCGGTCGCAGCTCTGCAGCACGGCGGCATCCACTCGCCTAAGTGCCCTGAGGGTACTGAACTGGTTCGTAAACCTTGAGACTCGGGGGTGTCGTGTCCCAAATCCCAAAGGAACCCTTTCAGCAGCGTATTCAAACCACAGAGCAACGCAGACTCCGCTTTGAAAGCTTTTAGCAAGTTGAGATTGGAAGACACCAAAGTTTATTTTTGCAGAGTCATGGGGGGCGGAGCCGAATCTCAGTGAGGGAGCCCAGGACAGGCAGGACTGGATTCAGGTTTAAGTCTGGCCTCATGCTCCGAAATACCCCCACTGGAGGAGGAGTCTCCTGGGTGGAATTAGATACACTTACCTTCCGTGTCCGGACGGAGTCCGATGGAGAAAGCCCACCGTTTTTGCACGCTCTGAATTTGGTAAGAAATACTAAAAGGAACCTTACACAGAGGTCATTTATCTGATAAGCTTTATGTCGTAAAAATATCCGCCAAAGAAAGGTCTCCCGCACGGAGGCCAGGAGGACATTCGCGCCTGTGAAAGTGTGTGAACCGGGTGTTTCATTGTGAATTTCAATATTTTAAAACATCATAAAAACATGCTGGATGGGGCAGCCCTGCTTGGATGTAGGTGACGTTTTTAACTGCGACTGCAGAACGACCGTGGGGCTGTCGGACGAATGTGAACTGTGACGGTTTTCTCGTGTGTCCGTGTGTGTCTGGGAGGGTGTTTCTGGAAGACTGACATCTGAATCTGGACTGAGTACAGCACGTTGCCGCCCCCCCCCCCCGCGGGTGGGCCTCGCCCAATCAGTTGAGGGCCTGGACAGCATACAAAGGCAGGGGGAGGATTCTCTCTCTGTGCCTGATGCTGGAACATTTGTGTCCTGCCCTCAGGCTGCTCCTCACACCACAGGCCTCCATCCTCAGGCTTCAGACTTGGAGAACTTCCAGATGGCAGGTCCTGAGGCGTCTCGGCCCCCCTCTTCCCGTGACCGATTCCTCATCATAAACACAGCATGAACGTGACGGTAAACATGCTTCTGTTTCTCCGGGGTACCCTGACTCAGCCAAGCACCAAACATAATGAGCCGGCTTGTTATTCTCAAATCCACATAAAATAGTTATAGCAAATGTAATAACTATTTCTAATGGATATCGAGGATTTAGCATTTCTCCTGTAATTCACGCAGACGTGGGATGTTTGTGTTTTAAAAAACATGACATTTTTCAAAATGGTTTGTAAGGAGGGCTTCTGGGGCCCTCCGCGGCCGCTGGCCCCGGTTTCGCGGGGCGGGGCTGCTCCGCCCCAAACCTGGGGTAAGGAGGCTCACCCTGTTTCCGACCGGGAATTGATAAGGAATCGGGTATCCTACGGCCCAGGGTAGTCAAGTCTGCAGGGTTAGGGAGCGTGTGATGCTTCCCATCTACCGAGAAGGGCCGTCTCGACTCTGGGTACATGGGGTGAGATTCCCCGGCAGCCCACCCGCACGGGGAACCTTCCGGCAAGTTCAGCAGGACACACGGACCAGCCGAACCCAAATGTCACTGACATGAGACTTCGGTCTCTTGAAATCGGAAGGACCACAAGGCCCTGTGAAAAGCTGTCTCATTAAACCTCCCCTTCCATCTCTGGGGGAGAACAGGCTGTCCGCCCACGTCCGCCGGAGGCTGATGGCAGGTCCTGACATTGTCTGTATGAGGCCGCTACACCCACTGAAGACTCAGAGTCTCAAGTGTCGGGGCAGGCGATGTCTGAGGCCCTCAGGACAGCTCTGAGCTTTCATTTATCACAGCTGAGCGCCCAGGGCGATCACCCGCCCGAGCCTGTGGTGGGGAATGAGAGGCGGGCCCTCTGCCCTGTCCCTCCCTCAGCCAATGCCAGGCTTTCCCTCAAGGACCCGCGGGCAAAGCTGGACTCACTGGGTGCCCCTCCCAGCCCCCAGCTCAGGATGGACCTGGACACCGGGCCACAAGGGGGTGGTGGCCAGGCAGGGCGGGGCATCAGCACCAGGGCACAGGCGGGCTGAAGGCTGCCCCCCCCGCCCCCCCCCCCCCCGCTAACTCTTGAGTGTTTCCGCGGCACAGGCCACGGTTCCGACACGCAGCCTGTCCCGAAGACGCAGACCGCACCTCTGCAGTCGGCACGCTTCCGAGACAGCACTTCTCGCCTGTTTCATTCTCTTCCTGCAAACCCACCTCCAGCCTCTGAGACAGGCCACCTGGGCTGTCACCTGCTGCAATCCGACCGGACCCAGCAGCCAAAATCCCTTGCATTTTTCTGTGGTTTCCTGTATTTCGTGTCACCCCCTAAAAAGGAACTGTGGGTTTCGTGTTTCTGTTTGAACACAGAGCAGGCCCAGGCTCACCCCCCTGGAGGGAGGCTCAGGGAGCTGTCTCGGGAGCAGGTGTTCACTGCGAGCTGTTGTGAGGCCGACTCGGGGGACGTCACACCTCCCCCATCCAGCTCACGGGCTTCGTGGTTCCACACGGAAACGCCCAGTACACGCTGGCGGTGGACAAACCACGCAGAGACTCCTCAACGGGCCTCAAGTCTGAGGTGTTTTTAATAAGCTTTATACCAAAAATACAACAGCCAGAGCCTGCTAAACAAAATCAGACCCGTGACATGCAGGGATGCCGCAGACGTCGGCGGAGGTGGGCGGCGCAGGCTCACAGCTCACTGCCATGTTTTCTGCCATCGGCCTCGTCTGCAAGAACGTTCTGCATCGTCGTCCGCCTCACGGGCCCCGGTGAATTAACACGAGGTCGCAAAGGCCCTGCCCACTGCTGTGCCGCCGGAGACAGGACGAGGGGCCTCGACGTCTCCTGGTCTGCGCTCGTCCTCAGCGAAGGAAAGCGGTGTCGACAGCCCCGAGACGGCGTCTGAAGCAGTGGGTGAGCAGCCGCCCCGGCCTGCGCCAACGGCGGGGCAGCTCAGGAGAAACCACGACCCCGATCGAGTCCACGGCGTCTGACCACTCTGCCCCTCCCGAAAGTCCCTCTCGTTCCTCACCAGGAGTGATGTACATTCGTCAAGAGAACAGAAAGTCAGACCACACGCCAACACTTGGGAGAGACAGGAAGATGCCAGCGAACAGCTCAGGCTGGGCACAGGCCTCGGCAGAGAGCCCGCGGCGGGACGGCGGGTCTCTCCTGACAGGGACAGGCTCCTGGCTCCGGCCCCGGAGGCCCCGCAGGACAGATGAGCCCAGGAAGGCACTTACCTAGCCGTCGGGTAGGAGGAGGAACATGTCCGCGTGCTGTTGGTGTGGAAGGCGGGCATTTCCGGGGATTTCCAAGCCCGCCCCACTCCACACGTCGGCAGTGCTCCCAACATCAGTCTCGGGGACCCGCTGGGGCCCAGGGACGTCAGGCCCTCCTGCTGCCGGGCGTCCCGGGCGCCCGTGCTCGCTGCCGGTCGTACTTCACGGACACGACCAGGAACAGCAGGAGGGTGACACCTTGAATGGCCGCCAGAAGGAAAAAGTAGTAGTTCAGGTGGCAGCCGTTGATGTTGCCTAGAAAGGAGAAGAAGCCCGTGAGCTGCGCTCGGAGACGCCTCCGGGGTCTCGCCACGCACCTGTCCCTACCGGATGGTCACTAGAGATAGGAATCGGGTCCGTGGCTCGGAGCACACGGCCCACAGAGCCCAGCCCGTCGGTGCCGAGCTCTGGGCCCTGCAGGGCACCCGCGCCCCAACCCCACCGTCCTCTGCACTCGTCCCCCAAAGCGCTGGACACGGGAGCGCAGTGACGCAGCCCAGAGCCCTGCAGCCGACGGCCCCTGGCCCTCCTGAAGGGGGCGCCCTTCCTAACGCGGCTGCGGCCCAGCATACTCAGGCTCCATGCCGCAGGGCGCAGCTCGGACACCTGTGCTCCAGGCCCGGGCAGAAGCCACCGGAGTCCAGAAACAGTGCAGCCCGCCTGCTGGCCTTAGCTGTGAACCCCTCGCCGCTGCCCACGAAGAATGCTTACTCGTTAGGGCGACGTACAGCCCGCCTCTCTGACAGCAGAGAGTGAACATGTACTGTCAGGAAAACACACTACGAAGCCAAGGTCAACGCAGGGACACAGACTGACGAAGGCAGGAAGGTGGAGGCAGCGGCCGGTGCTGGGACAGGTTAGGACCCAAGGGGAGGGCCCTGCCCTGCACAGGTGGCTCCCGGGACAGCCCGCCTGTGCTCACACGCGCACTCATTCCGACCGCTCCGTCGTGGCCACGTTCCAAGACAGTGCTGTCCTTACCGAAGTCCGTGTGGTTGCTCATCCAGCCGATGGCCTTGAGGGACACCAGCGCCAGCAGACCCGAGCCCACAAAGGACCCGACGCCCGAGAAGAAGAAGAACAGGCCCATGATGGCGCTCTGCATGGACTTGGGGGCAGCCGAGTACGCGAACTCCAGACCTGGAGAAGGGGCGCGGTGTGAGCGCTGGGTGGACACGTGCTCCGGCCCCGGCACAGAGCAAGGGACAGGACACAGCAAGTCCCAGAGCCAACGCTGCCCCCACCCCCAGACCCCTCCAGGAGAGACTCGCCTGAGCCCCTCAAACCTACCCGCTATGCTGGCGAATATCTCGCTGACGCCGATCAGCACGTACTGGGGCACCTGCCACCAGATAGGCAGGTCGGCCGCGAAGTACACGACGTTGCCAATGGTCTGGTTGATGGTCTTGTGCTGCACGAGGTCCAGCCGCTTGCTCTCCAGGATGCCTGGAATGCAGAGGCCGGTCAGCAGGGCCCGACCCCAGGGCTGCGAGGACGCGAGCCAGGTGTCTGCTGCGCGGTCTTCACCGCCGTCCAAACACGCCCGTCTGTAGTCAGCAAGGTCCACAGTGCTGCGTGCCGCCAGGGGCGCCCGACTCAGCCGGGGCCTCAGCGCGACCGACGCCGATGTCCAGCCCTGTGCCTGCGCCTGGGACACTCGGTGGTCCCGCAGTCACTGAGCATCACCGCGCGGTCTTACAGAAAGGGTGATTCTGACGACGCCTCCCCCCAGAACCCCGGCTCTCGGCCTCCTCGGGGTCCCCAGAACGCAGGCGCTCCGAGTCCTGCCGTCCCCTGCTCACGTTTCTCTTAGAGGAGCAGGTGGACGTCTGACACGGAAGGGTCTTCATCACAAGTTCGCGCTTTCTTGTTGTTTACTTTTTAACCCTCACCCGAGGGTATGTTTCCATTGGTTTGAGAGAGAGACATCCATCGACTGCCTCCCATAAGCGCCCCGATTGGGGATCAAACCTGTAACCTCGGCATGTGCCCTGACTGGGAACTGAACCCTTGACTCTCTGGTGCACGGGGTGACGCTCCGACCAAGCTGGCCAGGGTGAGGCTTGCTTACAGCAGGAGCGCAGGGGCGCACAGACCGCTCCCGCGTCCTCTGTGGAGCTCCCGGGGTGAAGGAATTGCGTCTATGTCCCTGGGATGACTCACTTGAATTTTATCGTTTTCTCCTCCTCATGCTAACAGAGTTCTCGCTACACTTCTATGGTTTTCTTACACTTATTTTCTCCTTATTCAGGCTCCAATCAGCTCACGCAACAGGATCTCACAGAGGTGCCGTGTGTGCAGACCCAAGAACAAGCGGGTGGCGGGCGGACGCACACCAGCACGGCGAGCGGGTCTGGGGATCGCGGGCACGTCCTCCCTGCGTGTCTAGGTCCCCCGCCTGCACGTGAGAGGCTGAAGGACACCAGCCTCGGGGGCCAAGGAACCCAACAACTAACACTCCCTTCACTCCTCAGCAGCCTAGGAGCCCGGACCTGCTGCTCTCGCCCGAGACACGGAAGAAGAACAGAACCGGCAGACACGGTGCTGAGCGGTGTCGGCCCCTCGAAGGCCTCAGCGTCGGGGTCAATGCCCCTCGCGGCAGCCTGACCGCGGCCCCTGAGCAGCTCCGGGCACAGCAGACCTCCGTCGCCGAGTCAGCCATGCGGTGCTGGCACTGAGAGGGGCCGTCACCCCGCTCACATCACGTCCCACGGGCGCCAGCCGGCCACGCGGCACCCGAGGCACCCTCCCTGCCGACGGGCATCTCAGCAGTGGCTGGCCTGCCAGTGTTTCCCGTACAAACACGTGCGGACACACCAGACGCCCCCGTGGTCCCATGACTGACACCGAGGGACTGGGTGTGAAGGGACCAAACCCAGGACCTGCCAGGACGGAGCCCAGGCGCACCTGCTTTCCCACGGCAGGGCAGGGCCGCACCCGGGCCCTGACTGGGGCAGAGACGGGGCTGCCCCACCCCGGAGGGGGGCTGCTGAGCCAGTGCTCAGGGGAGGCCAGACAGATGGACGGACAGCAAGGACCGCTCCGCAGACAGCGCTGCTGCCCGCAGACCCGAGTGGCCGAAAGCCATCTGCCGCCCGCCACCCCCCATGGGACGGACAAGCAGCAGAGCCACCTGACAGCTGGCGGCACAAGCGCCCAGCCCGGCCTCAGTCGCCGTCGGTGCCCAGCACACGAGACTCTGGCAGGTCATCCCCGCCTCCGACACAGACGGCGGCAGCCGGGGCTCGTTTCCTTCAAGCTGCCGAGCGCCCGACCGCTGCGCGCACCCCGCGATCGCACTGCAGAGCGTGCGGCTCCGCCCCAGTGCAGCTGAGCACTGAGCCCTCAGAACAGCCCCCATTTGGCGGATTCAGAAACGTCAGCTTCTCTTTTCTTGTTATAAAATGAAGCTATTTCCGTTTCAGCCATTTTCAGACAGTGATGAAGGAAGAGTCAGCGGGACCCTCGCTCTCCGCGGAAGACACTGTGCTCACAGCCAGGACGCAGGACTAGGAAGTCCCGAGGCCCCGAAGGGTAACTGCCCACCGTGGGGGAATGTCAGGCATCTGTCCTCAGCCTTTCTCTGTTTCTCCGGGACGGGGCCGGCCTTGAACTCTGTCTGGTGAAACCCTCGGAAGACGCAGACCACGCGAGGGCTGGGCAGCACCTGAGGCCGCGGAGGGGCCGGAGGTCAGAATCCCCGGGCGAACCCGCCCCTCTGAGAACCACACCCCCTCGACGACCACCGCAAACCCACCTGCAGCGCCAGCCGCTGCGGAGCCTGAATCACTGGGGCAGGAACAAGCCCCCTTGTCTCGGGCCGGGCTGGGCCGGGCCCCAGCGCCCCTTCCGGAAGGAAAATGGCTGATCTTCAGAGAATCCTAAACTTCGGGCTTCCCGTCCCTGCACAGGGTCCCTGTGGGCACCCACTTCCTGAGACCCCAGCGCGGCACGCCTCCCAAATCAGCCGTGACCGCCCAGAGGGTCAGCGGGACGCGAGCCGAGAGGCGTCTTACCGGCGGCGAAGGCGGAGCACATGACGAAGAACATCCCGACCGCGATCCTCTTCAGGGAGGACGGGAGCAGCCCGCGCCTCCGCAGCACGGGGTCCACCAGCTTGTCCTTCAGGGGGATCAGCAGCAGGATCAGCACCGCGTCGAACATGGTGAGCCAGGCGGCCGGGAACTGGGTGGGAGGCACAGACATGCGTTCACGTCTCCGCCCCGCCGGCAGCCCCTCGGTGACAGTGCGACACGGGCAACGTGTCCAGGAGCCCTCCATGGAGTCTGACCCCAGGAGGAGTCTCGGTGTAAGTCACCGCAATGGAATCAGGACTTACTTCTAGATGGGTTTACACTTATTTTTCTGCACTTTAAGAGGGAGAGAAAACAAGGTGAAAATATTCCTTAATATGTAATTGACATTATCCCACTTAATATAATAAATGAGCCCGGTCAGTGTGGCTCAGTGGCTGAGCATCGACCCTGCACCAAGAGGTCGCCGGTTTGATTCCCGGTCAGGGCACGTGCCCAGGTGGTGGGCCCGATCCCCAATAGGGAGCACATAGGAGGCAGCCCATCAATGTTCTCTCTCATCGATGTTTCCATCTCTCTCTCCCTCTTCCTACCTCTCCTTCTAAAAAAATCAATAAAGAAAGAAAATATTGTTTAATTTAAAAAACGACATCGATGAGAAGATGGTCTCAAAAATAAGTAAAATTCCACTTGGATAAGGACGCTCACAGTTCGTGCTGAACACCAACACCCTCGGGGTTCTGCTGTGAGGGGCGGGGGACCCCGCTGCACGCAAACCCCGGGGCCCTTTCGGACGGCCGCCACTGCTCTCACCGTGTGAGCCGTGCTGGTGATGCTGGAGATCTCGGGGATCCGCAGGTGAAGACTCTGGAGGACGTACGTCGTCTGCATCTGCGTGGAGAGCGCGGAGTCACGTCACGGGCACAGCTGCCCTCCCGCCCCCCGCGGCTGCCCGCCCCCGGCTACGCTCGGTCTGAGCACAGACGGTCCACTGTCTGATCAGCCCGAACGCGTGTGCAGACCGACTTTGAGAGAGAAATGCAATTATCCAAACAACTCATCACATGAAAGGCAGGGCCTGGAAACACAGACGGGGACCCAGTCCCAGCTGCTGCTTTAGAAAACATTCTCCAAAGGTTTCCATCAGCAAAACGAGTCCACCACTGAGCACGAGATCCCAGGGGCCAGAGACTCGGGGAAAGGAACCTCGGGCTCATGGACTCAGTGACGGCGGGCCCGCACGGGCCTCTGCGGGGGACAACAGAAAGGACGCCGTCCGTGCCACTCACTTGGAAGTACACTGTCCAGTAAGGAATCAGAGCCAAGAAAACAGGGATGATCTTGACCAGAGCTTTCGTGTCGTCCACTTTGTCTTCCGTGAAGGGCCCTCCGCGGGACATCTTACATGAATCAAACAGACTGTGTTTAGAAGATTGCTGAAAGACTCCACTGCCTTCACTTTGGGAAATAAAATGAAGGAATTAGTTTTCTTCCAGCCCCGGAAACAGGTCACAACTTAAGTCTGGAGACGGGAGGGCAGCTGCTGTGCTGACTTCACTTAACGTCACATCGCGCCTGCTCACTGGACCCTGCACACAGGGCGCCCTGGCTATCCTGAGCACGGCCAAACACGTGGGGACAGCTGCCACCGCACCCGTCCCAGCGCTGGTCACAGCGGTTAGCGTCCCCCCCTGGGTTCACGTTTGAAAAAACCAGGACTGGATTGTTTGGATTTTTAAGGTAATTTATCAAATGTCGACATGACAAGCAGCCCCGACGCGGCTGACGAGCTGGGCGGGTTAGTTTAAGATGCAGCCTCGCTCTGCGTGTGGAGGGCTCCGCTCCAGCAGGACGTGTGGTGTCCTGACTGAAGGAAGGGCTGGGAGGGAGGGACCCTGCTCACGTCATGACGACAGGACCGTGCTGCCGGCAGCAGGTGAAGCCGGGTGCTCAGTCCTTCACCCTGCCCGCAGCCCTGCGGGGGGTTGGGACACGCCTGCTCACCCCCTGCTCCGAGGAGGAGCTAGGGCCCAGAGAGGGCAAGGCACGGGTGCAGGTAACAGAGCTGAGCTAGGGCCGGGGTCTGAGTCCTGGCTGAGAGCCTGCGGCCCGACCTGGTCAGGACACGGCCTGCCCCTCGGCTCCCGCCCCCAGGGCACAGACACGCAGGTGTGCTGGCGGCAGCGACTCGGCCGGGGTCCGGCTCGTGTACCCCTCCCCGCTCCCTCGTGCTCTGGGCTGCTCAGTTTCCCCAGTGACTGGGCCTAGTGGAGAGCGCGGAGCTGTTCCAGCCCGACGCTCCCAGAAACATGCTCTGAGGCCCCAGGGGTGAAAGAGGAATGAAGAGATGGTTTTACTTGACACTGTTCTTTAAAGCCAGAGATACCGGGAGACACATGGTACCTAACGATGGCTTCCAATCTGGGGACTTGAATACAAACGGCAGCTGCGGGCTTTGAGGCTGTAACTTGTCCCGTTAACTGAGTTACCACTATTTTACATGGCTCTTGTCTCATCGTGTTGTCACAAACCTTCAGAGTAGACAACAGCAAAGAAACCGGAAACTGCACTTAACATTCTGGCTGAGCTTGGAAACGGAGTCTTAGCGAGCCCCACGCCCGGCCCCGCTCTAAGGGCTGCCGGGGCTACGTGAGCGAGTCAGAGACCGCGCCTGCCTCACATGCTGCCGTCTCGGGAAGTCGCCAGGAAAACACTCAGCGTGGAACTCTGAATTCCAAGGGTATCGTTCATCTGAAAACATTCATTGCTGTTTTCATTTTGGGGGAGGCAGGGAGTTGTAAAAGGAAACCAGAGGTTCTTGCCTCCCTCCTGAGATACTGTCGGTGGCCCACTACGTCCACGACCTGTGTGCTTTCCTGGACACGTCACGTTAAACCGCGAATCCACTTTTCCATAGGGACTCCCTCACACAGGTTACCGGTTACGTGACCTTGTTTTACATCATTAAAATATTTGGAAACTGCTAAGTCAATGTGCACCTGCAACTCTACCTACTTTATACACAGTTACAGGATCACTTTGCAACATAGTCTGACACGGAGCCACGGCCACGAGCAATAACAGACGAGAAGCGCAGTCTGCATGCTCCCGGGGCTGCACCAAGCTGGGAGCCCACACGTGCAAGTTCTCGGGGGGGGGGGGGCATCCGTTCTCAGGGTCTCAGGAGAGACATGTGCTCAGAACGGGTCAGAGCATTTCCACTCTGGTCTGTTTAAAGTCGGCACTAAGGTATCTTCAAAACATAGATGGACCCGGACCAAGAAGAGACAGGATCAGGCGGTCAGTCAGGAAACGCGAGGCGGTGCGTACTGGCTGGGGCTTCTGGAGACGACCTTCTGAGGCACCGGGGGCGTCCTCACCAGGGAGCACCCATTCCCAGGCTCTGACCGTGGGCCGGCGTTCGGGGACCTGGGCACAGGTCGCCTGCTCGGGACTCACCACACCCTAGGGGAGGGTCCCTTTCCTACACAAAGAGGAAACGCAGGCTCTGCAAGGTCGTGAGCCTGCCCAAGGTCACAGCCCAGGCTCGAGCACAGGAGGGAGAGTCTGAGCACCCTCTAGGCTGTCGATGTTTCTGGAAGACGTCTTCTCTGTCTTAAACGTGCCAAAGGCTTTCCAAACACAAACTGTAAGGGAAATCAGACCCTTGGCGAAGCCAAGTCCAGACCCCTTCACCAGTTGTCTGCACACTGAACCCCAAAACAACCCCGGAGCCGTGGTGTCTTCTTGCAGAGACGTCTGCCAGGAGCCACCCACCCGACACACTCTGACTGTGGGGTGTTCCTTCCCAGAGGCGTGGTTGGCGAATGGCATTCAGCTGCAGAGCCCACAGGCAGGAAGCGAAACCGGCTTCCCTGACTGGGGCCTGGCCCTGCAGGGCGCGTGGGTGGCTGAAGGCCGAGGCACTTCTACTTGTCTTCAGTGAATGTCTTCAGTGTGGTCCATCTGCGGTTCTGAAGTCTGACCCAGACCTGCAGGAGGCCAGGGGCCAGCGGGCTTCCCCAGGACAGCTGAGAACCGGGTGCCCAGCAGGCAAAGGGCAGGGCCGTGGGGGCTGTTCAGGAACCGCTTCAAGTCCGCCCATGGAGGGGACGCGTCTCGGCTCCAAGGACAAACTGGACACGTGCAGAGTGCCTGAGGGACCACCTCCGGCTCAGGGACTGACCCCCACGGAGAAGGTCCACTTTGATCTAAATATTCCCTGGGACTTCTCTGGGGCCAACATGTTCCGACCCTGCCGGCTCCACGGTGACACAGTGGACTGTGACGGTGGCATGAACTCATCACACGTCGGGAACAGCACACCCAGAGGGGTGCCTTTCACTGCAGGTAAATTACACGTCAATAAACAGCAAAAAAAGGATATTCTGGGGTCTCTTCTTGGGCTCAGTTCTGAACTCTTCCTTATAAATCTGCACGTAGGGTGACCGACCATGTGTCCCACTTTGCAAGGGACGGTGGGACTCTGTGCGCGGGGAGCTGTCTGCCCCGGTCTCCGCCCTTCTCCCGAGCTCACCCTCCGGTGCGGACCACGGCGACAGGCCGCAGCTTTCTGGCGGGACGCAGGGGTGCCCACAAAGAGCATGACGGCCCAGCTTCCCTCTCAGACGGACCCCGAAGCTTCTGGAAGCAGGAGCACGTGCAGAGCGTGTGACTGTCCCCCAGGTGCCTGACAGCGTCCGTCTTCATCGTCCCTCAGCAATGAGCCTCCGGGCGCCGCCTCCACCTCGGCAGCGACGAGGGGCACGTGCAGAGCGTGTGACTGTCCCCCAGGTGCCTGACAGCATCCGTCTTCATCGTCCCTCAGCAATGAGCCTCCGGGCGCCGCCTCCACCTCGGCAGCGACGAGGGGCACGTGCAGGCTGCAGGTCGGCCTGGAAGACGGAGACGCCACCCGCCCACCTCCTCGAGCTGACAGGAGAGTCAAGGACAAGACCTGGCCCCCTCCGCCCCGGCCCTGCGCACGCGAGCACACGGCAGACAGAAGCAGGTGCTTCGACAGTGACGACGACCGTGCCCACCACCCTGAACCTGTGACAGCTGGACACTCACCTGCTGCGGTCCTGGTCTCCAGTTTGCTTCTGGGGACGGCAGGAATACGCCAGAATCCTGAACATGTCAGTGAAGGCGCTGCCGTCGGGGGGCTTGGTGATGAACACCCTCTGGCCGCACAGGAAGAGGAGGAAAGCCACGCCGATGCAGACGGCGGGGATGGTGTAGCCCGTCACGAAGCTCACGTTCTGCTGGACGTAGGCGATGCCGCCGAGCGAGATGATCGCACCCAGGTTGATGCTCCAGTAGAACCAGTTAAAAAACCTTCTTGTGGCTTCTGGTCCTCGGTCTTTCACCTGGCGGCAGGGAGGGAGAAGACGTAAAACCGTGGGACAATCCTCAAGGATAAAAAATGCACGTAATTTTTTTTTTTTAAACCCTCGCCTGAGGATATTTTCCGATTTATTTTCAGATAGAGTGGGAGAGAGAGAGGGAAATATTGATGACAGACACATGGACTGGTTGCCCCCCGACCAGGGCCGGGGACTGAACTGCAACCAAGGTATGTACGTGCCTTGACCGGAATCAAACCCGTGACTCACTGGTCCACAGGCCAACGCTCTAACCGCTGAACAAAACCAGCCAGGGCTACATAATGTTTTTATATATTAAAAATAATTCTGCCCTGGCTGATTTGGCTCAGCGGTTAGAGCGCCGGCCTGCAGACCAGAGAGTCCCCAGTTCGATGCCCGCTAAGGGCATGTACCTCGGTTGCAGTTTGTCCCCGGCCCCGGCTGGAGTCGTGTAGGTGGCAGCCACTCGATGTGTCTCTTACATCGATGTTCTCTCTCTTTCTCCCTCTCCCTCTATCTGAAGATAAATGCAAAAATGTCCTCGGGTGAAGATGAAAAAAAATCACAGAATCGCTGTTGTCATCATAGCCTTTAAAATTGCAGTAACGCCAGAGTGTTTATGGACCCTGTCAAGGGCCCCTGGTTTAAAAAAAAAGCATCTCCACTCTTAATTACCAAACATATTGGGCTGTGTTTCTCTTAATTATGCTTAAATCCAAGAAGTCCTGGAACGTCTCAAAATACCATCTGTGGACCACCTGCTCGGGAAACACCTGGATGCTCCTCACAGACACAGACTCACGGGCCCTCGTTCCGGGCCCGTCATCACCGCGGAGGCTGGGGCCCAGGGGCCTGCACGCTGGCCCACCGTCCAGGGACTCCCACCGCGCTCCCGTCCATGAGCCTGCAGCAAAGGGACACTAGACGGAAGCCAACACCTAGTTTCAGGTCGGGGAGGCTGTCCATGGGCCTAGGAGACGCTCTGCCGAGGACAGAGATTCCTGGCGAACTTCTCGATTTCCTGACCCCAAACACGGGCACCGAGGGAAGAAGCAATTTCCGGGTGTGTGCGTCACAAGGCGACTTACTCGAACGGAGCCACATGGGCCGTCCACGTGGGGGCTGGCACCACAGCTTCCCTCCACACCTGGACTTTCACATCCACGCAGCGCGGCCAAGTCTGTCCCACCAGAGTCGTTTCTAGCCAGTTTCACTTCACAAAATCTGTAAACTCACCAGCTAACAGCTGGTGCTGGCTTTCAAGCAGGGACCGTCGGTTGTCTCATCCCAAGTAACGAAAAGGCTGGACAGTTTCCGCTCTGGTAACAGATCTGAAATCTGATCCACTTAGCAACCCCCTCTTCTAAGTAACAAAGGAGGTTTCTACCAGAGGCCGGAACAACCAGCCACGATGCACGCGGCAGTGTCTTGCAAGCAGTCATGTGACTGGACACGATGCTGTCGCCTGCGCTGTCTGCAATGGTGGCACAGAACCCGCTACTCGCGACTCTACAGTAACCAGCACCTCAACCCGAACAGCTGAGCTTCCTATGAACGTCGGCCCCTCCCCCCGTCAGGACTGAACACAGGTCTGGACCAAGTGCTGGCCAACTACTGAGCCCAGGATCCGTATGGGGGATTTCCTGCCATTCGGAGACAGACAGCTCTTCGTGGGGACACGACGCACTCAAATGTTACTGGGCCGGACGCCCACAGGCACACTACCTGGAGACAGACCGTAGGAAAGAGGAACTGGAAGCAGAGAAATGGTTACAGAGAAGCCATAACTGAAAACACACAAACAAGTAACAGCTTTCTGGGGTGGGGACAGCGAACACAAGTCTCCATTTAACGCAGACGTGATCTGTGTGTCTCAGCGGCACTGCTCCACCGCCCATCAGCAACCTTCACACACCCTCTTCAGTGAAGCATGAAAATCGGCCTTCGATGGGCACACTCCCCACTTGTAAGATTCCACTCAACCTCACATCCTGCACAAACCTGCCAGCCAACTTAGACTTCCAAGTGTCATTCACCGAGAAGTATTTAGAAACCTCAGCCTGTTCCCGAGGCCAGAAAGACCCACATACCAGTGGTTTCTGGGTAAGGATGGGAAGCCAGCTCCCAGGTCCAAGCGCATGCCTCTGCCTCAGCGCTCTGGACAAGCCGCTGTTGCTCTGTCAGTCAATTACATCATCACCCCCACCCCCCCAGGGGCCGACAAGCTTCCCCATGCTGGACAGAAACCACGGCCACCAGTCACAGCGGTGACAGGGCCAGGATCCTCAGAGTGAGCCCAACAGTGGCTGGTTCGGAAAATCCCTGAAAATGCACAAAAGTGCGATTTCCCTCCTCTCTGGGGGAAAAAAAAATGCACCGTTTGCTCTCTTTATCGGTAAAATATGCTCTTCTTCTCCCAGGTCACTATTCCAAATCCTCGGTCCATCCGTGAAGGACGGTGACCTTTAGAAAGGGCAGCCCTGGGAGAAAGCACAGGCTGGCCCGTTTCCATCCCGATCTAATGCTCTTGGAATCTGCAGCTGTCTTCCGTCAGCAGTCAAGCGGCCTGTGCAGCTGACCCCGGGCACCCCACCAGGGTGTCTGCCAGAGGCCGTGGACTGGAGACAGAGACCTGAGTGGCCGTGAGCACCAAAGCACCTTCGTGATCCAAACAGCGGAAGGGCCAGGAGATGACAGAAAGACCGTCCTGGGGAAGGCCTGGCACGCTTCATGCCCCTGACCGTGTCCCTGGCGTGGAGCAAGACCTGGCACAGGGCACTTCTCTTCCTTCTACAACATGTTTTTGTAGAGAGAGGTGACTCACATTAAAAAAAAAAATTCAGCCCTGGCCAGTTTTGCTCAGTGGTTAGAGCATCGGCCCGCAGACCAAGGAGTCCCGGGTTCGATTCCGGCCAAGGGTGCATACCTCGGTTGTCGTTAGTCCTGGGCCCTGGTTGGGGTCGCACGGGTGGCAACCAATTGATGTGTCTGTCTCATGTCCATGTTTCTTTGTTTCTTTCTCTCTCTCTCTCTCTCTCTCCCTCCCTCCCTCCCTCTCTCCCTCCTGCTCAATCTGAAGATAAATGTAAAAATACCCTCGGGTGAGGATAAAAAGAAAAGTCAACCCTTTGGAATGTATGACTGACTGGCTCCCACCACCCAATTCCACATTCTCATCCCGCCACCAAGAAACCCGAGTCCCTCTGGCCCCGGTCCCCCCTCGCCCCCTCCTGGCCCTGGCAGCCACTAGTCCACCTTCTACTCTTTCCAGGTCTGCCCGCTCTGGACGTTTCTTCTAAGTGGACCACACAGCCCGGGGCCTCCGTGTCTGGCTTCTCTTAGCGTCCTGTTTTCAAAGTTCATCCTCATCTGTGAAATGGGCGTGAAGGAGCAGAAGGCCCGGTGCCAAGTAAGCCCTTGGTCAACGCCCCAAGCACACGGTCACTCCGCACGGAAGCCTAGCGGTTACCTTCCCTGTTGCTCCGTCTTCCTCCATAACTCACCCCAACGCTCCCACTCCCAGGCCCAGCCTCTCTCTCACCTGGCCCGGGGAAAACGCCAACCTGGTTTCCTGCTGCCATCACTTCCCACACCACCTAGTCTCAGCACCCCTCGCCTGCGAACTCTGTCTGAGAAGGGGCAGGGCGGAAACGCTGCCAGTCATGAGAGCCCGACTGTCACGAGGCCGAATGCCGCTCCTCTGCTGGGAAAGCAGCCCTGGCGGAGCCCAGATGAAACACCAACGGGCACCATCCCCACAAAGCTTTAGTCATGGAGGCCGAAGTCTGAAATTCCTCTCGTTCTCACTCACAAAACACTCATTTTCCCCGTCCACTTCAAAGCGCAAACCCCATTCTTATGCTTAGCTCCCCAAAACAGGAAGTAGCCCAGATTTGGTTGGCAGGCTAGAGGCCAGACCGTGCAGAAACCCGAATCACGTCGGACCACTCCCCTGACGCAAGTCCATACATACAGGCTTCCTCCTGTATTGAACAGGGACCTCAAACTCTTCTCCCAGCCTTACCCGGCAGGCCCCTGCCTACCAACTCTCTGCCCATTAACAAAAAGGCATCTGACATGTAACCTTGTACAAGTTTTAGAAGCTGAAGCGTCGATGGATACATGGATGTTGCTACTGTAGCCAAGCAGGAACGAGAGCTTTCTCTGGCCGGCCCCAGGGCCTTGGCACTTGCGGCTGCCCCGGCTGCCAGGTTCCTTTGGGGTTCTGCGGGTTTCCACGCAAACGGCCCCCCTGCAGAAAGGAGGCCCCCTCCACCGGCCCCCCTGCAGAAAAGAGGCCCCCTCCACCGGCCCCCCTGCAGAAAGGAGGCCCCCTCCACCGGCCCCCCTGCAGAAAGGAGGCCCCCTCCACCGGCCCCCCTGCAGAAAGGAGGCCCTCTCCACCGGCCCCTCTGCAGAAAGGAGGCCCTCTCCACCGGCCCCCCTGCAGAAAGGAGGCCCTCTCCACCGGCCCCCCTGCAGAAAAGAGGCCCCCTCCACCGGCCCCCCTGCAGAAAGGAGGCCCTCTCCACCGGCCCCCCTGCAGAAAGGAGGCCCTCTCCACCGGCCCCTCTGCAGAAAAGAGGCCCCCTCCACCGGCCCCCCTGCAGAAAGGAGGCCCTCTCCACCGGCCCCCCTGCAGAAAGGAGGCCCCCTCCACCGGCCCCCCTGCAGAAAGGAGGCCCCCTCCACCGGCGGCTCCGCCTCGCCCTCCACCCGTTGCCCTGCCCCGTGCGGACCCCTCCCCGGGGCCACCGCCACCTGCCTGTCCTCTTGGCCTCCGCGCACCTGCGCTCACCTGGTCGGCGCCGAAGGGCGTGATGTTGGCCTTGACGGCGCCCACGCCCAGGCCGACGACGGCGAGCGCCCCGAGCGCAGCGGGCGCGCAGTAGCGGGTGGGCGCGTCCGGGCAGGGCGGCGCCGAGCAGTTGCGCACGAGCGTGGGGCGCGGGGCCCCGCAGAGCGCGGCGCGCGTGCCGGGCGCGGCCAGCAGCGGGAAGGCCAGCATGCCCAGCAGGTAGAGCGCCAGGCTGAGCAGGATGGCGCGCGCCCGGCCGAGCCGCGCGTCGGCCAGCCAGCCGCCGAACGGCGACACCAGGTAGGTGAGGCCCATGAAGAGCAGCAGCGCCTGGCTGGCCTGCGCGCCCTCCCAGCCGAAGCGCGAGCCGTTCAGGAACAGCACCAGGTTGCCCGTGACGCCGTAGAAGGCGGCGCGCTCCAGCAGCTCGGTCAGCAGCACCGCGGCGCACGCCAGCCGCCGGCCCTCGAACGCCGGCCGCCGCGCGCCCAGCAGCGGCGCCCGCTCCGCCTCGCGCCCGCCCGCACCCTCCATGCGCCCGCCGGCCCGCCCGCGCCCTCCGCCGCTCTGCCGGCCCGGCCGGCGCCCTTCTCGCGAGACTGGCCACGCCCGCCGCCAAGGCCCGCCCCTCGAGCGTTCTCACTGGGCGGGCGCGCCGTCGCGCAGCCCGCCGGGAGCTTCCGGTGCCGCCCCGGAAGCTTGCCGACGCGGGCCGCCCCGCCCCCTTCCGCCGTCGGTGGGGCCACAGCGCGCAGGCGTGAGTGCAGAGCCGGCTCTTTAGGCGACAGGTGAGCCGGGCGCTGCGGGCACCGACGCCCCGCCGGTGGCTGCCAGGTGCGCGCGGGGGCCTCGGGGCCGTGCGCGAGGCCGCCTGCTGCTGCTGCGCCCCCTGCTGGCGCTCCGGCCGAGGACGCGGGCCGCCGGCTGGCGCGCAGGTGCCGGGTCGGGGGCGCGGCGCTGTGCCAGGGTGAGCGCCCTGCGGGCCCCTGCTCGCCACCGGGCGCCGGGCACAGCCAGGACTGCCCCCGGGCGTCCCCAAGGGGCTCTGGGCAGCGGAGCCGGCCCCTCGCAACCAGGGTCCTGCGCCCAGCCACGCCCAGGCCGCTGTCACGTGGCTGGTGGGTGCCCGGCCTTCCTCCAGTCTCAGCCCCCGGGGCTCGCTGCTTACACCTGTTTCGTGATCAGCCCGTCTGAAGCCGACCCCACCCGCCCCATGAGCCTGCTGTGCTGCTTTCTTACTGAGTTTTTAGGGGGAGAAATAGAAACCTCGAGCGGGTGCCTCCTGCACGCCCCCTTCTGGGGATCCAGCCTGCACCCGTCATGTGCCCTGACCAGGAAGCCAACTGGACCTTTCAGTCCTGGGGTGGACGCTCATTCCGCTGGGCCACACCTGGGCACCGTTACCCTGCTTTCGTTTATCCATAGTACCTGTTACGTTTGTGTGTTATTACTTTGCCTTCCCAGCTTGTCTGTGGTCCCCACCAGTACAAGGGCAGGGTCCTTCTGTGTCTTGTTCCTCACCGTGCCCCCGGCCTCCACAACAGTGCCTGGCACCCGGTGGAGTGACCGCTCCAGGGTCTGGGTTTCGTTCTGAAGGGATGCAAATACTCAAAGCGGTTGTGGCGATGGTCACGCAACTCTGAATGTACCAAAAAGCATCGGGTCAAGCACTTCAAATGGATGAACCGTGTGGTATATTGTTTATGTCTCAACAAGGCTGTTGCCCACCCCCACCCAAAAGGTGAGTTAAAAATTGGGAGGTTTCACATGTAAATCTGGATGCCCTGCTGTTGTTGACAGAACAAACGAGAGGTCTGGCAACGTTGGGACTTGCGGCCACCTGCTACACTGGTGACCAGCTCCCTGCCCCACGTGAACCCCACCTCTGGTGCTTGCACCTCGGTGTGTCCTTCACAGGTCACAGTCCCCGAGGCTGGGCCTCCGACGTGCTTGGCAGAGAATGTGGCAGCAGTGTCTCTGGGCCAAGTCTGGGCCCAAAGCTGAAGGAGGTCTGGCAGCTTCCACTTCTGTGCCTTTCAGAGCCCTGAGAACCATGTAAGAAGTCCAGCACGGTCCGTGTGGCTCAGTGGTTGAGAGTCCACCCATGCACCAAGAGGTCGCTGGTTCAATCCCTAGTCAGGGCACAGGCCCTGGTTGTGGGCCAAATCCCCAGTGGGGAGCATGCAGGAGGCGGCCAGTCAATGTTCTCTCTCATCAATGTTTTTTTTTTTTTTCTCTCTCTCTCTCTCCCCCCTCCTCTTCTTTCTAAAATCAATAAAGGAAAAGGAAAAAAAAAAAAAGTCCAGCTACCTTGCGGCAGAGGTCACCTGTGAGGGACAGTCAGCAACTACATGGAACAGGGGTCCTGTTGCTCCAGCCCCCCCAGTGGGATGGAGCCACACAAATAACCACAGGCAAGAGTAACAGAAAAACTGCCCGCTGAGCCCCAACCCAGACTGCAGAGTCGTGAACAAGTGAAATAGCGGTTGTTTAGAATGCTCAGTTCTGGGGCGTTTGGGTACTCAGCCTCAGACCGTGGAAACACACCTGCCTGCGCCCACAGCTGGCATCCGCTGACACCAGGCGGCAGCCACTGTCTAGATGGGCATGCACTTTCCAACTCACCGGAATCCTCCCCTTCTGTCTTGCTCTTCTCTTACTAGAGAAAGTGTTCTCTCCGTCGGTGCTGTTCAGCGCAGTGCCTCTAGTCGCCTGTGGCTACCTGAACTTGTTAGTTCAGATTTAATGAAGTGAACAATTCTGTCCCTCAGTCACACCAGCCAGTGGGCACAGGCGACAGGTGGCTCCCATGTGGGACATCACTCCGCCACTGCAAAAGTCCTGTGGGACAGCCCTGCTCGAGTCTGTGTATCCGGCCCAACTCCTGACTCGTCCGACACCCGCACCCTCCTCCTTCCAGACTCCCGAGTCCAGGTGTTAATCAACTGTTTGTCCCCTGCCCACCCTGCTTCCCACCAGCTCCCCGCATAACTCAGAAGGAACCAACTTCACCTTTGTGTCTGGATCCGACCAGTCAAAACCCAGGCTGGTCTCCCTGCCTCTTGACAGTGACTAGTTCAGGCACTGAGAGTGACCACTCAGGGTGTGACATTCCCCCGGGGCAGTCCGGCTAAAGGGAAGGACTCTGATCCAGGACTCGGGAGGGCCGCGCCTTCCACGGGGCTGGCAGTTTCCGAGCAGGGGGCACACTGGTTTGGGATGAGGCCGCGTTGGGCTGCACAGCAGAGACGGAAAAGTTCGATAAAAACCTTCGGTTGTTTAAGCCACGGTGTCGGGTTTTCTTTTACTTGTCGTGAAAAGCCAACTATTGGGATTCTATTGAAAACCAGGAGAGTAAAAGCTAGAAGCAGGGAGGGCAGCCAGATGTTTTCCCCCAGGTCGGGCCCAGTTGCCCTGAGGGCGGTCTGCCTGGCGCCTGTGACCCGTTGGCGGCCCCTGGACTGAGCCCCAGCAGTGTGCACAGCTGAAGACGTGCTGTAAGGTGACTCCTGCACTTTGTGGGGTGTGCTTGTGCCTGGAAGTAACTGTGAGTCTCCTGTGTGCCACAAGCATCGAGTACATGCCCTCGCTCACACAGCAGGTGTCTGGAGGACAGGCAGCCTTGTGGGGCCTTGTCACCGGCCTCATCGCCTCGGGAGCCCTCGGAGAAGGAGGCCCTCACGGCCCGGACGCCCGTGGCGTGAACTGAATTTGGAAATGCGACATTTGCTCTAAAACATAGAGCCCTTCCTTGTCTGTCACTGCCTGGTGCCCCGTGCCCTGCTCAGGCCAAGCTCAGAGAAGGTGACAGCACGGATCAGAAGCCACCCGAGATGGAGGACTTTCAGGGCCTCAGGGCCGGCAGGTTTCTATGACGTATTCACGTCCTCACGAGACTTTCGACACTTTCGCTTCTCCTTTTACAGCTGCGTCTCCCCCTCCCCGTCTCCCCCTCGCAGTCCCACCTGCTGACTCACTTTCGTCTTCCTCAGAAGTGAGGCCACGGGGACCGGAGGGGGCGGAGGGAGGCAGTGGGGGAAGGAGGAAATCTGTACTACTTACCACAGAAAAGATTCAAAACAGCAAAACGCTGGTCCGGGAGCCGCCATCACCCCCCTGCTCAGTCAACACACAACCTTTGAACACCTCTGCCCTCACCGTGGGCACCCAGCGTGGGCACCGAGGCCCGTGCTCCCGCCGTGCTGGCTCCCGGTTCCCACGGAGCTCGTGTTGGCACGTCAGGCCACGGCACACGTCGCTGTGCAGCAGTCACAGGCCGTGCCGTGGGGCTTTGACTCTTCGGGGCTGGAGACTTGTCTTGAGTCTGTCTCCTTCAAGGGCCCTGTTGTGACACGTCTGCCTGGCTGCGGGCGACCGAGGTCCAAGCAAGAGGACAGGGCTCTCCAGTGCTCCAGACCCTGCTGTCTGAGGCTAGCCCGCGGCCACAGGAGCCCACCTCGGGCGACTCAGCTCAGCTCCCCGAGTCACTTGTCTTCCTGTCACAGATTCGGGGGCAGGTGGCCAGGACCATCGGTTCGGACTTGGCCTTTATTCAAGCTCTCATTTTATTTGACCCGTGTGAGCAGCAACCCCTCCTGCCTGGGTTCTTCCCCAGGAGACATCTGCAGGGGTCAGCGGTCACCACTAGGAGGAGAGGCAGGAGGGGGAGAGCAAGGGGCAGAAAGTGGGTTCTGCTTCCTCCTACTTGAAGAAGTGGAAGTAGTCCTGGCCGGTTTGGCTCAGCGGTTAGAGCGTCGGCCTACGGTCCAGAGAGACCCGGGTTTGGTTCCCGCTAAGGGCGCGTACCTCAGTTGCAGTTTGTCCCTGGCCCTGGTTGGTCGTATGGGTGGCAGCCACTCAATGTGTCCCTTTCACGTCGATGTTTCTCTCTCTCTCTCTCTCCCTCCCTCCCACTCTGTCTGAACAAAATATCGAAAAATGTCCTCGGGTAAGGATTAAAAAAAAAAAAAGTGAAGATGTCCACAAATGTGGGACCGTACTTGACCGTTCCGTCTTAGCTACCACTTTCGTGATTCCTCACGCGTATCTGAGCCCGTGTTGCAATCATGGAGTGATAACCGGTAGTTACAAGTGTGTCTGTGTTTTAGATCAGGCCTCACCGAAAAGATCCAAGGAGAGGAACACGAAGGACGAGAGCTGAATGCCGCACAGTGTAATCCAGCCGGTGATAACAAAGGCATCCGCGGTCCACGGGGAGAGTGGGGGCCCGGTGAAGTCTCTGGGATGAGCACATCTGAAGCATCGAGAGGAAATACTGGCAGATGTCAGACCTTAGGGAGGGGCTGCTCTCCCAAGCCTAACACGAAAGCCCTAATGGGGAAGTTTAGTGACTTAATTACGTAAGACTTAACACTAATTTGTATCATAAATAATTGCAGTCAACAGCAAACTGAAAAAAAAAAACAACTGAAATAAATGCGACAAAGTGAGTGTCATTTGTAAAGAGTTCTTAGGAATCTTATGTGTTGGATAAACATCCAATAAATGAAACCGTCCATGCGAATGTCCAGGTT